CCTAAAAATAACCTTCTTTTTCGTAATCAAAAGATTTTTTTTATGAAAAAAAAAAATTATTCAATTAGGGAACACATTTTTTTTTTTATATGAAATTAAACGATTCGAACAAGGACGCGTACATTATGTGTAACGAAAAACAAAAAAATTGTTGTTGTTGTTGTAATTACATTTTTTTTAAAAAAACGAGAAAAATTTAAAAACCTTGAAACTCTTTGTTTGTTTTTGTTTGTTTTGTTTTGTTTTGTATTTTTTTTCCCCCCGAATATGTTTCATTTTGATTTGTGATTCGTAACAATATTTCCGACCGAATTCATTTCCGTTAATAATATCCGTAATAAAAAAAAAAAAAAATTAAAACAAAAACAAATAATAATAATAATAATAATAATAATAATAATAATAATCTAATTTTAAAAAAATAAATAAATTATTATCATTTTTTTATTTTTTGCTTGAAACGCCCAAAAACTTTTTATTATTAGGTAATTATTTCACCGATCGTATTTCCGCCATAATCACTAACTCATAATAATAATAATAATGATAATTTAAAAAGAAATTTGACCGGATTTCGAATTGTTGCCCAACCGGAAAAACGTCATAAAAACTTGAAAAACTTTTTCTTTTTTTTTTTTTTTTTTCTTATTGATTCATTTTTGATCACTGTCAATTTATTAAAAATTTTATTAAAAACTTATTATAAAAATTATTAAAAAAAAAAAAAAAAAAAAAAAGTGACGTCATGCGAGATGCGCGCGACTTTTTAAAATTTACCGAAAAAAAAAAAAAAAAAATTTCGATTATTTTTGGATTAGTTACCAAATACGAAAAAAAAAACAAAAAAAAAAAAAAAAACACGAATAATAAATTAATTAAATTCGACTCTTGCCATATACATATAAAAACAGTGTAATAATAATAATAATAATTGTATGAATAATAATAATAATAATAATAATAATAATAATAGTAATAATAAAACCCGAACCTTGTTTTTGCAAAACGTACCTTCCTTTTATTATTACAAAAAAAAAAAAAAAAATTTCTTACGCCCTCACCTCAAATAAAAAAAACGGGTTATACAAATCAGCAAAATACAATAACCAAAAATAAATAAATAAAATAAATAAATAATAATAATAATAATAATAATAATAATAATAATAATAATAATAAAGAACCTGGTCGAATCGAATGTAAAAAAAAATTTTATTTAATTTTTATTAACTTATTATTGCGATATTTTTTATTAATAAATAATTCATATGCTATCGGTCAAGGTAGGTGAATGAAATGTACATAAGAGAAGTTTTTTTTTTTCTTTCTCCATTTTTTTTTTTTCTCGTACGAAACGTTTCGCCAATATTAATAATAATAATAATAATAATAATAATAATAATATAATTAATTTTAATTTTTTTTTCACCTCGACTTGAATCAAATTTTTGTCGGTGTTAATTATAAAAACCGGTCAAATAGCATTTTATTTTATTTATTTTTTTTTTTTTTGTCAAAAAATAACATTTTAAATTTATCAACGACAATTATTATTATTATTATTATTATTGATTAATTAATTAATTATTCGCGGGGGGAGACTGAAAAAAAAATTTTTTTTTTTACTAACTAACGGTTAAAAATAAATTTAATAATAATAATTATTATTATTAACATAGAGAAAATATGATATTATAAAATTTAAATTTTTTTTTTGTCGTGTAAAACCCGTTTTTTTTTTTATTTTATATTATTATTTATTTATCACCGAAGAAGAAACTGTCGTTAAACAAAAAAAAAAAAAAAATTTAATATTAATAATAATAACAATAAAAGTCATTCACAAATCGTTTAACAAATTTTAAATTTTCATTCTCGAACATAAATTTCAAAAAAAAAAAAAATTCTTTTAAATAAATGAAATTTTTAACGGTTTTTACATTTCGAAAAATAATAATAAAAAAAAAAAATGTAATTGAAATTTATTATTTAGAAGAAGCAGAAGAAGAAGGAAAAGTATTGGGAAAACTTTATACTATCGAATAAATTAAATTAAAGTAATTAATTACTAATTACGAATTTAAAAAAAAAAATTAAAAATACGATACCGAATAATGGTTGCCATTTTCTTCAAATGGTGACGTACTAAATCCGTTGCTCATCATAAAAAAAAATTTTTTTTTAAACGACAATTCACTTTTTCATAATATTTTTTTTTAAATAAAAATAATTTTTTATTTTAATATAACGCGTAAAAAATAATAATTTTATTTCGGTGAAATAATTTACGTAAATATAAATTTAAAAAAGAAAAAACTTTGACAGAGTAACGAACAATTTAAATTCTCTTAACGAAATGGCAAATGAAAATGATGTTGGCGCGTTTATTAAGTTGGCGGCAGTGGCAGCAGAAGTAGTAGTAGGAGTTGGTTGTTATAGAACAAATTTCCCGTCCGTGACCGTTTTTTTTTTTACTACGAAATCAGGATCTTTGCTCAAATGATCTTGTCTTTTTGTTTTAAATTACTCGCGGTTAAAAAGTTTTAAATTAAAAAATTTAATTTTCAATAAAAAAAAAAAAGAATATTTATCCAGTTCATTTTTTTTTTTTTTTTAAAATTTAAAAATAAAATCATATTGAAATATAATATTCCTCATTCCTGTCACTTTTTCCTTTTTTTTTTTTTTAAAATTTTACTATATGACCTTTTATCGACTTAAATTACTAATTAAAAACCTTTATCGACTTAACTCCACAATTTAAAAACCAATTCGATGTTATTTCTTACTCGAGTAAATTCAATTAACTAAATTATCAGCAAAAAAATTATTTTATCGAGTGGTACTTAAAGAAAAGTACAAAATAAAAGTAGTTTAATCAGGTATTAAGGTATCAACGATTAATTGTCAAATAATAATAAATAATAATATTTTTTTAAACATTCCAAAAGCATTGAAAGCTTACATACACACACACATATAAGTAAATGTGTTTATTTAAAATAAGATGCCACGAATAAAATGTAATCAAATTTACTCGAGTGTTAAATAATTTGAATATGCAACATGATAAATTCTCGAGGAACAATTAACAATAGATACAGTAATTAGTGCATAATTAATATAAATTCATTAAAATATTTTACACACATTGCAAACAATCGAATAAACTTATTGTATGTAGTGTTAGTAAAAGGTTATTAGTTTATTAAACCAGATCTAAATTAGTAAGATATATAAATTCTTAATTTTGAATAATGCATACATACCTGTATAGTCCACCATACTGCTTAACTGTTTTTACTGTGTGTTCCAATTGGTTATTTGAAATTATCCACTTTTAACTTTTAGAATGTAAATTTTAATAAAAGGTATTTGAAATTTATGTTTATAATATAAATAAAGTAATTTCAAACAAAAACAAAACGATTAAAAACTTTTTTTTTTCTTTTCAAACTGATCAAAATCACAGTGTGGTCAAATTGATGTAGTTTTTATGCAAAACGAATGCTTTAAAATAACGTAAAAATAAAAAACTTAACAAATTATCAAAGAACTTCAATATATAATTTCAATTATAATAATATTCCGCACGGTTAATCATAATTTTAATTATAATAAATTAAAAAAAAATTAAAACTTTATAAAACTGTCATTACAATATCCGGATATTTTCACACTGTATGCGCAGGGAAATTTTTTTTCTTCAGGTTTGCTTTAGGTTGGCAACATTTTTCCTTCTTGCATTTAAAATGTAAACACATTTAATAAATTTACTTTTAATATGTTTTTTTTTTTTTTTTTTTTTGTAAATTTAATACTTTACTGAATTTTATTATACTTCAAAATATAGATTAACCATACTTACATTTTAAGCAGTCATTATCACCATTTTTTTGAGTATTCACTACATTTTCCGCCATTTTAAATAAAATTCTTGTTGTGCATCAAATGCGAAAACAACAAATTTGCCAATAAATTCTTATTACAAGCAAATTTCTCAGGTAATTTATTAAAAAAGAAAATTATAATAATGATTGAGAATAAAAATTCATTATTTTTGAATAATGGTTTATATATCAATGCAAAATAAAAAACAAATTTAAAACTATTTTAAAAAAGTATCAACTTTTTTTTTGTTTTTTTTTTTTATTATTATTATTTTCGGCACAATTAGACAAAAAATTGTTATAAATTATTTTTTTTTTTTAAAAAAATACAATGCATCTTTTTTTTTACTAAAAAAAAAAATTGTACGTAAAAAGTAGTAAACGCAAAAATTCTTATTCAAGTTTGAATAAATTTAAATTTAAAAAAAAAATTTAAATTTAAATTTTTATTTTTAGCTAACTAGTGAAATAGCTATTTTTATTCATTTATATATATATTTATAAAAAAAATTAGTGTAAGTAAAATAATAATAATAATAATTTAAAATTGCCCCCCCCCTCTTTTTTTTCTCTTTTGGCTCTTGCCAAAAACCAAAAAAAAAAAAAAAAAAAAA